TGACATACACTGAACAAACCTTTATGACATTTTGTGTTTTTTCAGATTTGTAAAAAAAAAAAATATATATTTTTCATTTTTTTTATATAGAAAAAGGTTCGTTCAGTTTATGTCAAGTAGCCTGCTCCATTATGACATTTTTCCTATTTTCAAATTTGTTCAATTTGTTTTGTATTTGTCATATTTTTTTATTAATAATGGAGCAGTCTACCCGATATACACTGAACAATCATTTATGACATTTGTCTTATTTCAAATTCTTTCAATATGTTTTGTTTCAATTTTTTTTTAAATGGAGCAGCCTACCTAACATTCACTGAACGAACCTTTATGACATTTGTTCATTTTTCAATTTTTTTTCTATTTTCTTTTCTAATTTTGTCTAAAAAACAAAAATCAGTGCTTTGCAACATTACAGCAGTCACTCACTTTACATCCCAGCATCATTAGCATCTTTAAAAAAAAAACAAAAAAAAAAAAACAGTTATTTGCATCGTCGGAGGTGTCCGAGAATTTGCAAGAACCAGCGGGAACGCACTATGTGGTTTTTCTCGTTAATCAAACAAACGCTTGCCAATCGAGACAAATTGTCGGTGATCGGCGCGCTTGTTAATCAAAATGCTCGTAAATTGAGGTGCTCGTCACTCGAGGTTCCACTGTAAATATATATATGTATGTATTTATTCAACATTTTCAAAGACAAATTTTCCATGTTCTGCCAAAGCTTATATTCATTTGGGGGTGAGGTGGTATAGGATGTGATTGAGATGAGCAAGTGGATGAATGGCAAAATGGATATTAATAGGCCATTAAATCCTTATGCTCTTGCTTCTACTGTCTCTGTGTTGGTACAGGGTCTTGAAGTGGGTAGAATGTAATTATGTGTTAACTGGCTATTGATAGCTGGTCTTGACTTTTTGATGTATAGGGCCTTGCTGATGTCCAATCTTCTGTTGTCATTATACCTGTCGATTATTTCAGTGTTGCTTGTTAAGATTTCTCTGGTGATGATCTGGTTGTGTGAGGAGATAATATGCTCCTTGATGGAGCCCTGTTGCTTGATCATATTCCCCTGTTTTTATCCTCTAAGGTTGTGAGATTTAGTTCCATTAGCCTATCCTTATGGCTTAACACTTTGTTCTGGCACCAGTTGTGTTGCAAACCTCTTTACTTTTTAAATTTTGGTTTCATGTCTCACAAGGTGCAGATCCCATGCTGGTGCTGCATATTCTGTATTGGTCTAACAAATATTGTGTTGATTACCTTGAAGACATCCTAATTTAAGTTTCTAGGTAATGTTCATATGTTTGCCAGTGTCTCATATGCTGCTGATGTTACTCTGTTCTGAGAGTTTCTGGTGTTAGTGTTTGAATTATATTCACTCCCAAATCTCTCTCTCTTTCCGATTCCTGTAGATGCTTTGTTATAATGGCGTAGATACCACTGGTCTTCCATCCCCCCCCCCCTTTCCCATCTTCATTACCTTATACATGATAGGCTTGAATTGCAAAAATCATTTGTTTGGCAAGGTCCTCCTATAATTTCCTGCAGTTCTGCATTGTTCTTACATTCCTCATCAGCTTTATGTAATCTACAAATGCTGATTTGTACGAGCTCACTCCGTCGGTAGATCATTCACATAAATTAGGAACCGCAGCAGTCCCAGGACAAAGCCTTGTGGGAGTCTACCTGCTACATTCCTCCAGCTTAAAACCTTCTCTCTGTGACTCTGCTTTTGTCCTTCAGGTACTCCCTTATTAGTTCAGTATTTTTCCAGTTTTTGCATATTGCTTCTCCATTTTGTACACCAGCCTTTCATGAGGAACAGTGTCAAATGCTTTTTGACAATCTAGGAAAACACAGTTTACCCAGCCATTTCTTCCTGTCTTATTTTAGTAACCATGTCATAGAACTCAATCAGGTTTGCCAGGCACGACTTTCCTTTCTTAAATCCATAGTACCCTTTTGTCACATAGTTGGTCCTCTTCAGATATTCCATCATTGTCAAATGCTTCACAACTAAGTGGTTTGTCTCAAAGCTTTGTTGTCTCATGTTCTATACTTTGTTTACTTTGCTGCTTATATATTTTGGTTCACCCACCTGTCTAGTGGTATTTTCTTGGTTAGGGTGATATGGGATCTCCTGCTACTTCCACCTCTATAGAGGGGGCCAGGTTTTCAGTCTCTGGTACCCCGTAGGCTTACAATGACTAGTGAGAGGCCTGAAGTGGAATGAACTGGGTGGAACTTTCCAGGTAGCCCTCTCAACATTGTAAGAAATATTCAATCAAGAGATGCCATATATAATTGGCAAAATTTTGGAGTGAGGTTAATTTAGGGAGCCCACTTTGAAGAATTTGTGAAAGATAATCCTAACAGTTCCAATCAATGTGATAGAAGTAGTAGTCTTAAGCTGAGAAGGATTTGCTGATGAGATCCATAGTATTTTTCTACATTACTGTTGTGGAGAAAGGCAAGAAAGATGATGATGAAGGGAAGGAAGCAACACTCTCTGACTTCTATTCAGAAATTAATTAATTATACATCCAACAGTGATAAAGTAGTCAAGAAACAGGAAGTTTGTATCAGTACTCAGATAAGTAAAAAGATCTGATCATGAAAGATACTGTACTAATAAAAAACAGAGGCAAGATAAATTGATATTTTGTAGAATGAGAAGCTAAAGATTTTCAACCAGCAAAGCCTCAGCAGTTAGTAATCAAATTTGACCTTGCCAAGCACTTGTAAAATAAATTTTGGGTTATGTCAGTTTTCATAAACGTACAAAATTCAAGCCCTTCAGTGATCAAGAAGTTGTAACAAAGTCAGATCTCAGTGTGATTTGGATTGGGGTCAATCCCATATGACTTGAGTTAGCGAGTGAGCATAGTATGTCCAAAATCCTTCAGATATAGAACCGATACAATATTCGTACTTACCAGATACAGTAGTGCAGAATGCACTGATTCTTAGTGCAGTCGTTATTATTGCAAAATCAATCCTGGTTATAATTGTTCATCACTATGGATATAGAATATATTAGAGAACAGAGTAATATCAAAACTTAGATGATAGCTTCCGTCTATGATGTAATAGTACTGTATTTTGGATCAAACAGATGAATCTGGTTACAGTAACATCATAAGAAAATTTAGTTTTGGTTATAAATTCCTATAATTACCCAAACTTGACATCTCTCTGGCAATTAGTATGCAATAAAATTATAAACTTTTTAATCATACATAACAATTACTAACTAAAATAATTGTTGACCTTGTATATCATTACACTAAAAAATTTATTACAAATAAAATATTATTTGTAGAATAATAAAATAAAATAAAAAATAAAATAATATTACAAAAATCAAGGAGTAACTCTATCCAAATGTCAAAAACTGGAATCAATATTAGAATTTAATTATTTTGAAATTTTCTACATAAAAAGAAGAATATGGACAATTTCTAAATATTTTTTAGCTCTCGCTTGCAAAGAAGAAACTTACAAAATTAATCATTTTTAATATATCAAGAACTGCATATAGATGTGATCAATAATTGAGACAATTTTAGCCTATAAACGTTAATCCCAGTCTCCATTCAAAATACAGTAAACGTAGAATAAAAAATTAAAAAAATATTCCGGTTCATTTGAAAAATATTTGTTCTGCCATTTGCATAAATAAAAAAAATCTTTATCAGACAAAAGTAGAAAAACAAAATGCCTGCTCAGCCTGAAATACCAATGCAACAGAAGAGATCGTCACAATTAATTCAGATAAGTAGGAGTTTTCTATACAGTATGTGTAATTACTTAACTGTAGTTACAGAATGAGAGCTACGCTCGCGGTGTCACTTTTTCCCAGTACTCTTTGTCGTTTAACACAGTGTCCCGTCTTCCTAGCATTCTTTGTCATATAACGACAGTGTGTGTGTGTGTGTGTAATTACCAAAGTGTAGTTACAGGATGAAAGCTACACTCATGGTGCCCCGTCTTTCCAGTACTCTTTCATATAACACTTTGAAACTACTGACAGTTGTGTGTGTGTTTGTGTAATTAACGAAGTGTAATTACCCAAGTGTAGTTATATATATATATATATATATATATATATATATATATATATATATATATATATATATATATATATATATATATATATATATATATGTGTGTGTGTGTGTGTTGTACCTAGTAGCCAGAACGCAGTACTTGGCCTACTATGCAAAGATCGATTTGCCTAATAAGCCAAGTTTTCCCAAATTTATATATTTTTCAAATTTTTTTCTTATGAAATGATAAAGCTATCCATTTCATGATGTATGAATTAATTTTTTTAAATTTGAGTTAAAACTAACATAGATATATGACTGAACCTAACCAACCCTACCTAACCTAACCTAAACTAACACAACTAAGTCAATAATTTATGTTCTTAATATAATAATAATAATTCAAATAAACTAATTGGAAACAATTTATTGGAAATAAAGAAAATCGGGCCTTGCATAGTAGGCCGAGAAGTGTGTTCTGGCTACTAGGTACGACATTATAAATATTTTATTTATATATATATATATATATATATATATATATATATATATATATATATATATATATATATAGATGATTATCCCAATATATATATATATATATATATATATATATATATATATATATATATATATATATATATATATATATATATATATATATATATATATATATATATATATATATATATATATATATATATATATATATATATAAAAGGGGGGTGGTAGGAGAAGACAATGTTTGTCAGTACATGAGAGAGCCCAACATGGCTGTCCCGGGTGCTGAAAATCGTCTTCTTCGAGGCTTATGGGTCCCTAGAAGCAACCAAAGGTGGTACCCCATATTTTATTTATATATATATATATATATATATATATATATATATATATATATATATATAATGTATATATAGTATATATGTATATATACATTATATATATATATGTACTACACATACATACGTACATATACACACACACACACTAGGAATAAAACTGAGGTGTTCCTGAATTCAGAAACAATTTATGAATACTATTTAAAAGATACATTGTATAAAATTAGTTATGTATTAATATTGGTTTCAACGATTAAAATATGTAGGCACTGTTTTAACAAGCATTAATATGGATAGGTCCAAGACTTTGACTCGCAAGGCTAACACAATACCTTTATACATCCAAGCAACTTATCATATTAGAACTATTACAGTTGTAATAAATTTTCAGTTCATTACTACCCATTATAAACGTTCATGATCATTATTGTGAAACATATAGGTTCTTTACTGCGTTTTCCTAAGTCTACATAATAAAGGCTTATGAAACATGTCAGAGACATAACGCAAACATTTTTATACATGCAACTGCTGAGATAAGAGACACTTGTTAAGTTGCCGAGACCCAGTTTAAGACAATACACAAAATCCAAGTTTACAACCTTACCTTCCTGTTATATACTGTACAGCAAAAGCAAGTGTAAATAAAGGTTGAGACCTAGGATTTTGGGCACGGACTGTAGAGATGAGTACACACACACACTCTTGGATCTCTCTCTCTCTCATAGCAGCCAAACTCCCCAGCCTAGCCAGCATGCCCAGGAGGGTGGTGGTGGAGGCAAGTCCTAGTAGGACATCTCTGGGCTCACCAGGCATCCTCCAATATTATAAAATTCACAAGACACCTTATATGAAAGACCTGGTCCAACTGAAATCTTCAAACTTCTCTCTCGTACATGTGTGCTCATCCTTATCATTAATATATACATTTAAATAAACTCAAGTTATTCTAAGACACAATCTGATGATTATCCCAATTATTTTCATTTAAAAATACACAGTATTAAAGCTCAATCACTTTATCACAAACCATAAATATTAAAATAGAGAATATCACCAATTGACCATCATAAATAGTAAAATATAGATTATCACTGATTTCAACCCCTCCCCCCTTCTTCACTACTATAATAATTATCCATTCCACAGCCAATAAGGAAACTCTCCATGCCTTAGTCTATAACTGCAGTTTTGGGTATTATCCCTTTTCTATTTAAGAAAAGTGTTCAGTTGTAACCCTAACTTTTAAACCAGTTCGAGCAACAAAATATCCATCCTCCTCCACCATATTGCTCTGGACGTGGCAACTTGCATCTTCACTAAGAATTTAAGTGCAATCCTCAAGTACTGGTATATAGTACAATAAATGTTGCAAAACATGCTCTTAAATTATAAGAATAATTTTAGCTGATGACAGACTCTTAGCTATCAGTTTGCATGTCTCAGCATCCATTATATGGTGGCAAATGGGCCACCCTCTATTTATCTTTTGGTATGATTGCACTTAGATTCTAAATTATGTAAATTATCATTTATACCTAGGAACCTTGCGCAAAATACTCTACAGTATCAAAAATATAAAGAGCTCTGCATAACCGTTACAACAGCACACTTCAATACATCACAGAAACGGAGACACAGCCTTCACGAAAGTAGAGAGTATAAACGTGGCTGCCTCCCACTGGTCCATGGATGCTGCACTGTGACAATGGCTCCCCTGCATAGTGGACCACAGTTCCACTTTTCTACATAATGGCTCCATAACTGAATCATCTCTGTGACACACTTGTAATCAATACTAACAACAGGTGACTTTATTCCACACTACACTATGTAAATATTAAAAACCTTGTCCTATCCATGATGATTTTAAGGCTAGCTCAGTACACAGCAGTAACCTACATGTGTAATGTGGAGCTTCATGTCTGAGCATGATAACAGTACCTAATGAATATAAATGGAACTGGCACAAGGCTTTAGTGTCTGGTTGGTCAGGGCACATTCTCTAAATAGTGGCACAAGGTGCAAAACTCTTTACAATACAATAGCACAAGGCACAGCTCTCTATACATTGGCTCTTTAGTCAGATCTCTAAATACTGGCATAACTTACAGTGACAAAAAGGTGGAGCTTTCTATGGTGGCACAAGGCACAAATCTCTGTACAGTAGCAAAAGGCCCAAACTAGTGGTGCATTAAAGATTGCTCTCCAGTGCCATGGCGCAAGACAAAGTTGTCATATGTAATGGACCACAGCTCAGCCTAGATAGTATACATTGTGTTGTGAGCAACCAGAAAACATCTGTGCAAGCATATAATTACTGTATGGATGTTCAAAATGACAGTTAGAACATCAATTTGTGCCATGTTTAGAAATACTGACCGGAACAACTGGGAACAAGGAATTATGTATATTCAACAATGGGTGCATTAACATGTTAGTGCTATGGGTGTATTTATGTCATGCAACTTGAATCACATAAGCAAACATATGCCTGACCATTTGAGGAGAGCAACGTCAATGACAGAGAACTTCAAAATTATTATTTATATCTGAAATATTTATATTTTACCCTGTTGATTAAATATTGACAAACTGTATTACAAGTGAAGGAGAAAGCATTATTAATTAACAATTTAATGAGCTGGCCAAGAAAAAATTATACTTGATGCCACATAAGACATTGTTGCCATTTGTCTCTTATATGTGACACAGGTAATGACTAGCCATATTTTTTGGACAAATTGAGACACCAAGGCAGCAGGAATACATTATGCCAGTTCTAAATGGACGCAAGCAGGGGACACCTTTTGTGCTGCCTCCGTGGACCACCGAGTTCAAGGCGCGACTCAGGCAGTCATGTGTAGGACACATTGATTACTGATTCAGAATCTTCAAGTAAGTTCATTAAGAGGATTTTCCATCACATCCATACAATATTCATATTATTTCTATCACAGCCAATATATGCTATTTTGGGTATTTGTTTGAGATAAATAAATCCAATATATTAAAATTTTTATCCATACACCTTAATTAGTCACTCATATCACGATCACAATCACAGGTTTACAGACTGCTGGAATGAAAAATCCGAAGCAGATTTCAATGCCTCCAACTCCACCAGCAGATGTCGTCATAACCTCAGGACTGTCACTATGGACCTCTTGTTGAGTCAGTGAGTTAAGGAAGCATGTGCGTCCAATTTCTAGGCTGCCTACTTACAGGGTAGCTGCGGGTGCGAGCTGAACACACAACTGGAGAGACTATCGTGGTAACGACTACATGCCGTGTCGAACAGGCACCAGACAGGGACACGGCTCCCGTTTGGTAACAGCGGGACTCCGAAGGAGGTTAAAGCTATCAAGAATGAGATACAGTGGCCGCCTAGGCCCACTTCGGCACATTATAAAGATGTTATTGGCTGGCTACAACAGCTGTCACTGGATACCAAGGATAACATATATCCCACAGGTTCCCAGAGTGGGCGGTGCAGGTGTGGTCGTTGTAAGGGCATGGATTCACACCAACCAGCACCAGCGGCAGGGCACAGGACGGCCGGGCGAGGTGCACCCTCATGGATGAGGGGTTTATGGGGCCGAGTACCACCGGAGTGACTGGTGCGGGGCAGACTAGCGAGCAGCACGACCACCTACCGTACTTAGTGCTTAGTCGGCCTTAGTTACCAAGTGGTGCAACTCTGTGAGTAGAGCTCTATTAACCAGTGCCAAGGGGTTGTCCTGGGCAGGCCACTCAGGGCGCGGGCCACTGAGTGAGGACGGGCTTCCTACTATAGTTGGAGCCAGAGACTGTGGTATCATAGTGCCTATACCCATGCCTGGGTAAGCAGCTCCACCACCAACATCCTCATCCTCATGGTGTCTACGGGAAATAGCTTGCGTATGAGATGAGTCCATGTGGTGGCGAAGGTGGGAATCACGAGGCAGAAGTGTAGGTTGGGACATTTCTAAAGGTGGTGGTCCTCTGTGATCATGGGACTGGGGAGGTTGCTGGTGCCGAGGATCTTGGAGGATGCGTGATAGTAAGGAAGCAGAGTGTGGGGGAGGTGGTGGTGGCTCACTCAAACCGCCATGATAGATGCGCTGGTGATCCTTAAGGGCATATTTATTTTTGAACATCTTAGCACAAAGCGAGCAGCGGACGGCGGGGTTGTTGAAGTGGACACGTTCCATGTGCTTCCACAGATTACGGCGACATGAAATGAGTTTTCCACAAAGCTGACATGAATGTGGTAGTGAGCTAGGAGGTAGTGGTGGAGAGGATCCTAATCTATCTCCCCCTCCTTGTATGTCTCCCCGAATGTCTGCACGAGGGTCGATTCGCTGGTCTCTAACATCACCACGGAGGTCTAAAGGAGGATCATGACGCAAGTCAGTTCTGGGCTCTGGCTGTGGATCATACCGCATATCATGACGCAAGTCATCACCACAAAGAAAGGGACGGTCAGCCTCTTCTGGACCACCACTACCTGTAAAGTGGAAAAATGATTGTACATTCATATGTATGTATATGTTAGTTTGAGTGTGAATATATATTAATATGAACTATGTGTGTATACACACCAACATATATATAATATGTAGGTGAATATATGTAGGTGAATATGTTGACCAAACCACACACTTGAAAGTAAGGGGACGACGACGTTTCGGGTCGTCCCGGACCATTCTCAAGTCGACTGTGGGGTTGTTTACAATCGACTTGAGAATGGTCCAGGATGGACCGAAACGTCGTCGTCCCTTCACTTTCTAGTGTGTGGTTTGGTCAACATATTTCAGCCACGTTATTGTGACTCCTCATCTGCATAGGTGAATATGTAGGTGTATATATACCTAGGTAGGTGTGTGTGTATATTATATAATATATAATATATATATATATATATATATATATATATATATATATATATATATATATATATATATATATATATATATATATATATATATATATATATATATATATATATATATGTATATATATATATATATATATATATATATATATATATATATATATATACATACACATATATATATGTACATAACAACCTCGATTCAACATACCTCGATTTAAAAAATCTTCGGCTAGTTTGCACACTTTTCACCCGGTTCGACAAACAATGGTTCGCCGAAGCGGGGGATGTTCGGATTTGCTTACGATGTTGAGACAGAGTTCACAGAGTGGTGGAAAACTTTCACATTCCATCACAGGTTACAATTAATAATTCCTTCATAAGACAAGTTGGATTACAGAAGTGGACCACACAAGTGGACCACACAAGTGGACCACAAGTGGACCACAAGTGGACCACAAGTGGTCCACAAGCTTACGATGTTGAGACATAGTTCACAGAGTGGTGGAAAACTGTCTCATTCTATCGTAGATTACAATTAATAATTCCTTCATAAGACAAGTGGGATCACACAAGTGGACCACACAACAAGTGAACCATATGAACCAAACACCAGCCAGAATGGTCTACACAACAAGTGACACATAGTAACCAAACACCAGCCAGAGTGGTCCACACAAGTGAACGACTAAGTTTCAATGATTTTCGTTCACTGATTTGTGGCACACGTATCTTTGTAAATTAATTTAAAGGCTGAAGCGTGAATAGCTAATGTGTTGAAATCTTCTTATATACATTTTCTGTGATGAAACAAGATGAGTGAGGGTGGACAGATTAGGGAATACTGTACAGTAAAACTCACTTTACAGTGAGGGTTTCACTCACTTTTGTTTGTGTTGTCATAGTTCAGTGACCCATGACTTTGAACATTTCAGATTAATAAATCATTTCTAAAACTGGTGTTTTAATAACTCTTTATTATCCTAATTAAACTAAACTAAATAAAACCAAAAATATACTCTAATATGAAAGATATCCGCTATTTGAGAAATAATTCATGTTATTGGCGGCACAACTCCAGCACGAGTGGACCAGTCTAATCCGTGTGCACACAACACCATGTGTGTTTTGTTCAATTTCGTCGCCACACTTCAGTGACCTTCGGCTTCAAAATAATAAATTATAAATCGGTTCTAAAATAAGTATTTTTTATCACTCTTATTATCCTAATAATGTTGCTAAACTAAATATATAACCCAAAAATATATAATTTGATGTAAATCCAATATTTGAGAGAAATTTATGTTACTGGATCTGGCTTAAACACCAGCCTACTGTAGGATGTATAGACTTAGTCTGCGTTCGTACAGTAGGCACCCAATGCCCTTAGCTTTGTCTGCGATTGACACATTTATCCGCTGGTGGAAGAATAATCGTGGAATTTACTATTTTTTTACTACAGCTGTATTGTTATACAACAAAATGTCTCAGGGGCTTACTAATAGTGCCTTATTAATGACAAAAATAAACCAGTATTTTGCAAGAACTAGTAGCAGAAAATCAACCAGCACGAGCACAGCCATACCCAGCACGAGAACAACTGTACCCAGCATGAGCACAGCCGTGCCCAGCACGAGCACAGTCGTATCCAGCATGAGCACAGCCGTATCCAGCACGAGCACAGCTGTACCCCAGCACGAGCACAGCCGTACCTAGCACGAGCACAGCTGTACCCCAGCACGAGCACAGCTGTACCCCAGCACGAACACAGCTGTACCCCAGCACGAACACAGCTGTACCCCAGCACTGGTACAACAGAAGCCAGCACCAGCTCAGAAGCCACTGAAGCAAACACAGCAGCAGCGAGCACCAGCAAAGATGATGCAAACATCTAAAAACATCGTGTGTGGAGTGTACAGTTAGAATAAGTGTTAAATTTAAGTACACAGTGTTAGTGCTCAAATTAAGGTTGCAGTACAGAAATTTTAGTGTAAAATAGTTTTCATAAACTGTATTGAAATACTCAACATACAGCAGAACTACTTATCAGTGCTAACGGCATAATACAGTACAGTACGTATTTACTGTACAGCATTCACAACTCCACGAGAATTCAAGATGGACATAACTCCAACAATAAGGTAAATAACAACTGCAACAGTATTTTTAGTAGAGTAGTAATATATAGGTACAGTATATAATATGATAATGCATTTTTATTGTTTACTAGAAAAAAAAAGACTGACGCAAATGACTCTTGAAGGTCAACTATTGCAACGAATCCAACGCACTGGGGTTGGTCCCATAGTGTGCGTTGAATCGAGGTTGTACTGTTATTATTTATATTATATATATATATATATATATATATATATATATATATATATATATATATATATATATATATATATATATATATATATATATATAATGTCGTACCTAATAGCTAGAACACAGTTCTCAGCCTAGTATGCAAGGCCAGATTTGCCTAATAGGCAGAGTTATTTATGTTATTTTCAAAAAATTGTATCCAATTGGTTTATTTGAATTAATATTATTATATTATACTGTATTAGGAACATGAATTACTGACTCAATTGTGTTAGGTTAGGTAGGGTAGGTTTGGTTATATTTCTACGTTATTTTTAACTCTAATTTAATAAAAATGAACCCATATATATTGTAATGAAAAGATCTGTTATTAATAAGAAAAAATTAGACAAATATATAACTTCAGGAAAACACGGCTTATTACGCAAATCGGGCCTTGCATCTTCAGAGGTTATCTTGAGATGATTTCGGGGCTTAGTGTTCCCGCGGCCCGGTCCTCAACCAGGCCTCCACCCTTAGGAAGTAGCCTGTGACAGCTGACTAACTCCCAGGTACCTATTTACTGCTAGGTAACATGGGGCATCAGGGTCAAAGAAACTCTGCCAATTGTTTCTCGCCGGTGCCCAGGATCAAACCCGAGACCACAGGATCACGCGTCCAGTGTTCTATCCTCTCAGCCACTGGCTCACCTGCATATCCATTGACATATTTTATATATATTTATATATATATATATATATATATATATATATATATATATATATATATATATATATATATATATATATATATATATATATATATATCACATACATACATACAATATGTGTATTATGACGGAACCACTCGTCCTCCAAGAGTCAGAGGTTAATAAAGCTATTGCTTCATTTCATCCAGGTTCCTCAGGAGGCTACACAGGGGTCAGACCTCAATATGTCAAGGAAATGGTGAACCCTGTTCTTGCCCCAGTTGCAGAGGTGCTCCTGTCAGAAATCACAGCATTTGTTAACAACTGCCTCGCCGGGTTAATCCCTGATGAAATCAAGCTTTTTCTTTGGTGCATCCCTATGTGCTCTGAAAAAGAAGGCTGGAGGGATCAGACCCATTGCCATTGGTAATACCCTTTTGCGCCTAGTTGCAAAGGCTACTGTCAAAAGTATCTGAATGAAAGTAGCCACCATGCTGCAACCCAACCAGCTGGGGTTTAAGACAAAAAAGCAGCAGCCCATGCTGCACGAGCCTACATTAGTTCTCTTACTGAAGACAAGGCAGTAGTAAAATTAAATTTCCATACTACTTTCAACTCATTCAAAAGGGAAGTAGTCCTCACAGCAGTCCAGGAACATAGCCCAAGCAGTCTCCCGTTTGTGTCAGCAGGTTACAGCAAAGACTCTACGCTTCTGTTTGGCGAACACGAAGTCACCACAGCAGAGGAAATTCAACAGGGAGACCCCCTTGCACCTTTCCTCTTTTGCATAGTGGTTCAAGAAATCACAAGTAGACTGTCCAGTGAGCTCAACAACTGGTTCCTGGGTGATGGCACTCTGGCAGGCACACAATACGAGAACAGACCCCACACAGCCTATACATTATGTTAGAAATCTTTAAAGAATTCTGATAAAGAAAGATCTAGGGGTGGTTTTAGATAGAAAACTATCCCCTGAGGACCACATAAAGAACAGTGTGTGACGAGCCTATGCTACACTTTCTAACTTCAGAATTGCTTTTAAATACAAGGAGGGCGAAATACTAAAGAAATTGTTCACGACTTTTGTTAGACCAAAGCTGGCGTATGTAGCAATTGTATGGTGCCCATATCTTAAGAAGCACCTCAACAAACTCTTAAAGGTGCAAAGCCATACTGTACAACTAAGTGGCACCCAGAACTGAAGAACAAGAGATACGAGGAGAGGCTAGAGGCATTAAATATGCCAAAACTAGAAGATAGAAAAAAAAAAAAGAGGCGATATGATCATTACAGGTTCGCACCAAATAATAACAGGAATCCAATAAAATTGATAGGGAAGAATTCCTGAGACCTGGAACTTCAAGAACAAGAAGTCATAGATTTAAACTAATTGAACAAAGCTGCCAAAAAATATAAGAAAATTCACTTTTGCAAACAGAGTGGTAGATGGTTGGAACAAGTTAGGTGAGGTGGTGGCCAAAACTGTCAGTAATTTCACTTTGTCAGTCAACGCGTTATGACAGAGTGCTGGGAAGACAGGACACCACGAGCGTACCTCTCATCCTGTAACTACAAGACTCCCTACTGGAAGACCTACAGCTGGTGAAGTCACAGGGAAAGATCCTGGGTCTTGTCCTTAACCCCTAGATTAAATTATTTAATCTAGTGAGGTATTCATTAATGCAGTGA